TGGTCTGTAAAAGAGTCCGTATTTTCAGTATTTCTGAAGTTTAAGCTTACAGTTACAGTTCAAACAAAACTAAATCAATTGGGGTCTATCCTAATTGTGTAGGTCAGAGTCCAGGTGACATCTAGACCTAAATGTAAATGTTGTATGTTCGTACATGCTCCCAGAGTCAGTTCCTCACTGGCAGAGTCACGGATCAGAGACAAACATCTCTTGGGGCATTCTAGCCATTAGCCTCACCAACAGAGCAGGTACCAAATTTATCCCAAGGCTCTGTATATGATAGTGCTTGATCATGCTAGACTGTTTGGTCACTAGGTTTTATAATGTTCACAGTGACCATCAGATATGCATCCTTAAATGCTGTTCTGAACGTTCTAACATGAACCTCAAGACACAGCTTTCTAGTATGAGCAAACACAGATATTCGGGCTACTTTGTGCCTACTTTGTAGCAAGAAAGCTGGGTTTGAGGCCAGCAAGGATTCATCAAGCCTATTAAAAATTTAGAGAAATGAGAGATGAGAGATAAATATGGTACTTATCAGAACACTGCTTGACTGTAAGTGCTATTGATGTAAATCAATAAACCAGATGTTATGTGGAGCAAACATCTATAAAATGGAGGTTGCATTAGCTTAGATATTGGAGATGGTCACCTAGGTTCTGAAAACCATGTGAACCTGAGCAGCCAGGTCTCAGGTGTTTGTTGTTTTTTGGCAAGGGCAGAATTCCTCCAAATCTCAACCACTTTTTTTCCCCCAATATCACCGACATTTTCCTTCCCCCTCCACTCTGCCCCAGCTTGATTATCTGCAATTCATTCTGCACAAGTATTTGTCCTCTAGTTGCAGAAACAAGCTAAAATTATGGGTTAATAACAAGAGGCAAATTGCAACAAGAAGTGAAAGAGCAAAAATAGATGAATCTTTTCAATTTATTTCTTAGTAATATATCTTGAAAATGTATTTTTAATCCGTATAACAAGCTAAAATTATGGGTTAATAACAAGAGGCAAATTGCAACAAGAAGTGAAAGAGCAAAGATAGATGAATCTTTTCAATTTATTTCTTAGTAATATATCTTGAAAATGTATTTTTAATCCGTATTTTTTAAGGGAAGGTTTAGTGAATCATGAATCTCAAAATGAAGAATAAACATAGCAAAATATAGTTGTCCAAATATTCATCAAACACCTCTACATTTAACTGAGGATTTAGGATATAAGCATGGAGAACATAATTTTATTTGAGGAATGATGCCAATTCTGTTGCAAGTCCCTTAGCAAAATCTCTTTGGCTATTTCAGTTGCAAAGACATGAAGACCAGACCCACTATCAAGAATACATCAATGCTTCCCCAATTTCTGTACTCACAGCACCTTGCTTGTGCCTTTGTTATAAATCCTGTCTTGCATTAGACTTGCTAACCCTTTCTTTTTGCATTAGATATAATAGCCCTGTGATTTCTAAGCAGCAGGCATTCAAAAAATATTTGTAAAATCGAAATGCCAAATTATGTTGGTGCCCAAATTCCATTCCACGTGGGTCCTTGTATGAAGCTGAATTATTTATTCTTCTCTGTGTATTAGCAACTGTTTTGAGAAATAAACTTTTGTAAGGTATTCTGAAGCCTTACATGCCCCATCTAGCCAAGCCAGAGGCCAAGGCTTCATTCTAATCTTCTTTACTAGTTTATTTTTTTTTAAAAAAGGAGTTGCCAAATAAGACTGGCTTTAAAAAATTTTTTAAGTCAATCAAAATGCAGTATGAAATAATGTGAAACATTTGCTAGGCATGGACAAAAGATTAAGTACCAATATTTTTCCCTCTCATTTGCTATATTTCTATCTCCCCTTTCTCTTTTTGTGATTGTAAGGTATATGAATATTTTAAGTCAAATTTTGACTAGAGCTGTAGTAAGTATTATTGGTGGTATTTACATTTTGTCCCTCATTATTCACATGGTTGCCTCTCATGTAAGTGGAGTGGTGGTGTGGCACCCAAAGAAAGTCCACAGTATAGGATATATACAGTCTTTATCCTCTTGTAGATGGCCAAGACAGTGATGAAATATCCCATATGTATTGTTTCACTCTGATGATAAGTTTTAGGCCAAAACAGATAGGCGTTGCTAAAATTCTGGTCTGATTTACTCAGTAGAGACCCTCCTTTTAGTATGTCACAGAGAAGTGAGGTATTAGTCTGAATTAAAATAGAAATTTACATGACTTTTGCTTTAATGAGCATTGAAAACCAAAGACGGGATACTGATACAATCTTGATGTAACTAGTTAATAACTATTTTAATATTTTCTTTTCCTAAAATAGTGTAAAACATCCTCCACAAGATGACAAACTTGTTTTTAATCTACACTGTTCAACCAATTTTCAAAGTTGGTGCTATTGCATATAAAACCTAGTCCTTTTGCACATTTGGGAGAAAGGCAAATGACCAATTGTAGATATAGATGCAAGTTAAACTCTAAACCCATTAAACCTTTGAAAATTGTGACCTATATGGCCAAAAGCTAATAAATTACATGAAACCCATCAACTGCCTATCAAATAGCTCACAGCACCATGTGAAGAGCAAATTCATTTATCTGACATCAATAGCTTAACTTATATATCCTGGAGTCAAGTAGTCCTTGACACAGAAGTGCACTGCACAAAGAAGTTATGCAGAAAGTTTGGGATTACTTCCCTGGGTTTTGGCTTTTTTCTTTCACAGACAATCCCCAGAGCATGCTCCAACATGGCAGAAATTTGGCAGGGCCTTAAAATCTCCTCCTCATAACACATAAATGAATGTTTTAAGTAACAACAATCAAGTTGTCATTCTTAAATGAATCTCAAATGTAGAGCATGCACAGGTTTAAAAACAAAAACAAAAAAAGTATTAAAATTCCCAAACGCTTAGCAGTCATGTTTGCTGTATCCCTATACTTTTATCACATCAAAATAATGGCCTTAGATTATAAACTTATTGTACTTGTGATATGAATTTTCATGAACTTTAAAGAGATTAAGAACTTGAGGTGGTTATTCCTCTATATTTGTTCCCAAGTGAGATAACTTATAACATTTAAAAAAGCTCTTTAACACACTGAATGAGTACCAGCTGTTTTCAATCTGTTTAGATATATACATTTAACTCCCCATATTCTGAAAATGAATTCAATACTGTTTATAAACTTCACATTTAATAGGTTAGTTGGAAGCTTCTTGAGGAAGCCAATTTTCCTATTTATCTTTAAATAAATTATTTTCATCAGGACTTAATACATACCTACACCAAATTCTCTTCTAACTTCAGTTGACTACCACTATGTTCTATATTGAAACCAGTGAGTTATGCTTTATGAGTCCATTTTTTTAAAAAAAAGGCTGAATTAGAAAGCAAATTCTAATTTGCTTCTATAGGTCAGCAGTTCTTAAACTGCACATAATCACTTTGGAATAATTAAAAATGCAAATTCCTAGGACACACCATCAGAGATTCTGATTCATTAACTACAAGGAGAGGTTCTTTTCAATAATCTACCTTTTCAATAAACATCCAATGGCATCTGATGCAATTTGTCTACAGAACACTTTAAAAACTGCTCATGAAGTGAAAAAAAAATTGCTCTCACAAATCTACACCAAAAAAAGCTCTATCAATGCATCTGTCAGTTTTTTATTACAAATTCTGAAGACTATACAATGAATAAAAACGCTACAATGTTTCCCAACATTCTAATTCCTCTTTAGACCATCAGGGTGAAATGCTAGCGTGCTAAAATCAAAATACCAAGTACCCGAAAGTCGAAGAGTAAATTTCTAAATTAATTTAGCCTTATATTTCTTGGAGAAAGTTCAGAGGAAACTGAAGGTCCTTAGAGCAATACCTTGAGTTTAGGAGGCTATCCAGTTCCTTGAAAGCCCATTTCAAAACAAAACAAAACAGAAGACAAACTGTACTAAGACCTCTTAACCTAAGAAAGAGAAGGAATCTCAGAACAGGAAACAAGAGATTAAACAATAATGATAGGTAAATAATTTCCTAGACTTCCGGTGATTCTTGGCAGCAAAAGATCATGCTTTTGAAAAAAAAAAAAATAATCAGCCACAAAGTGACTAATCAAGTGACTTAAGAAAACCTAGTATTTGTCAAGATGGGCTTGTAACTGCTTGCTGTGTCTTTGCTTCCAAAATGCATCTCCAAACACACTGATTTTTTTTTTTTTTTTTGCCATACTGCATCTTTATCACAGAGTAAAATTAACAACTTTCTGGATAACTTGATTAAATAAATCAAGGCCCCAAGTTGGCCTATTTAGGCTTGAATTATAAGGCCACTAAAGGATAAGATTTTATGATACCAAATACCAGAGTCAAAACAAGTTATTTTTTCATGTTTTTTCTAACATAAGTAATTTCTTATGATAGTGATGAACTTCAGAATCTAAAACTAAATAGAGTGGTAAAAACAGGCATAATCAGCTAAAAAACATTTTTGCCTTAATTATGAGAATTAATCTGTGTGGACTCCATGCCCAATACAGATGACATTCAATGACATGTTCAACTAAACTTGTTCCTCTGGTTTTGAACTATCTTAAAGGCATTCATTCTTAATACTGCATATAAAGAAGAAGTCTAATTATTCAATCTTTTAGGAAAGTCTCCTGAATAAATCAGTTCAAGATTCTTTTTTTTAAACCTGCAAAACAAAGTTAAGTCAGCAAATCTGCAAAAGCAAAGAGAACAGGGGCAACGATATAGTCCAAATAAACTCTCATACGATTAATACAGACAAGTGAGTCAATATTCAGTTATTTCTCTCTTGCTAAGAATTTTCTCTGATAATCATCAAATCTACCTTACTTTAAAGCAGCAATCATAAGATAAAAATAATCTTATAGATAAGTGAAACTATTTCATTAAAATGTTAGCCTTCACATAAAATGTGGTTTCTTGCACTTGAAACAAAAAAAGGTAAAATAAGACAAAACAGCTGTTTAATTTCAAACGTTAATATATTTTCTATTTTATATTGAACATATGCATCTGTAACCCCTCATTTGCAGCAACTATCACATCCTCATAAAAGGGGCAAAATTTGTAAGATGCCTCTTAAAATAAATATTCTTTTTTATAAAATAATAAAACTTCAAATAAATATTCTTTACACTAAACAATATGTTGAAAAAATTAGAAAATAAAGGTTGAATTTTACTGTAACTGTACAATATACATGAAGTCCAAAGGGAAATCAGAGTCTTACAATAAAGGCTTTCTGTAAGGCAAAATACAATCTAAAAACATACTGATTGATTCACATTCTTCCGAATGTACAACATATTAGTATAATATTTTGTGACTGTGCCATGTAGTATGACACAACTTGTTTTTCACAGTTGCAAATATTATTGTATATACAAAAATATAGCACATTATCTCTGGAGAAAACAATGGAAAAAATTCATTTGCTAATTTACAAATTTTGCAAGTACTATTCACAAACAAAAACTCTGCCTAGGAGTGTCTGTGTTGCTTTAGCTTATGCAATATGTGGGTCACCAAGTTCTGTATCCCATACTTTTAAGTTCCATTAGCTGAGTTCTAACAAGCAAATCAGTTAAAATGGCACATGGACAAATAGCATTTCACTGCAAACAGCAAAGAAATATCCCAATCCTCTATTAACAGTGCCAAGATTATAACTGTTTAGTTGGTTGCATATGTGTGTTAAAGAAAAAAAAAGGAACAATCCTTATTACGTAATATTCCTGATTAATGATGCTATGTTGGTTTTTCAAAGTTCCTGGGGGGGACAGTGGGAACCTTGCAGCAAACTGTGTTGGAGTTTTTACAACGGCATCCGGGCCTGTTAACCCGATCATAACACCCCTGGCACAATTTAAGGCAACCCTTGGCTGGAAGGTAACACCATAAACAAGGCAAAAAGAGGGACATGACGCCCATGGCTGACCATCGGGTACAACAGTGAGACTGGCTACAAGAACACGGGTTGTCAGCACAGTTGTCCTCATCATCATTAGAACAGTGATAGAAGAGACCTTTCACACAGCACACACAAGTCCCATAGTCAATCACGTTCTGGGCCGAGCAAAGGCACTGCTTGTCGCAGATCCAGTCTGATGGCAGAGGCCTCGGGTAGGTGCACTCCTTACATTTGCACTTGCCACAGTCCTCACACCTGTAGGCATGCAGGCCCAAATCTTCCTTGCTCAGTGGCTTAAGCTCACCTGGCTTGAGCTCAGATTTCGGCTGTACCCGGATTATCCCATCAGCAACTGGCCCGGAGGAGAAGGATGATCCTAACAGTCTCTGTTCAGAGGAGCTACTGCTGGTACTTGTCCTCGTACTGCTCCGTGACCCTGAGCTGACTGTGCTGATGGACCTGGACAGAGGGGCTCTTGCAGAAGAATGAACCTGCGAGTGCTGGAGCCTGGGAGGCTGGCGGAGCTCAGGCAGACCGTGGAGTCTCTCGTGTTTGTGCTGAGTGGAGGGCCGAGGAGCAGGCTTGAGCCCAGGCCTGGGGACCACAGTAGGCCCCTCTGTGTACTCATTGGTGTTTCGGATGGCTCTGATCTGATCCAGAGACAACACGTGTACCTGCTGGGTGAGGGCATCTCTGGGGTCAGGCTCCCCACGCTGCCTGCCACCGTCACGGGGCACCTGCAGCAAGGGCTGCGACCCATTGCCACTCTGAGCTCTGGCCTCCATCAGATCTTGGAAGTGTGGTCACTCCAGCAGGCTTAGAACACATCTGAACTCCTGCAGAAACCAAGAGGCAAGAGAACGGTTTACACTCTAAGACACTTCCCACTCTCCACCCACCTGAGTTGATTCTTCACTTCCCAGTTGCCCTAGAGAAACAGACTTAAAGTGGAGTGGCAGTGGGGAGGTATTAGAATAGCCCTATGATCACTGCACGTTCCAAACAGTAAAAAAGTATGGCTGAGTACTGACAATTTTGTAATCCTGTGATGTGCAGTGACACAAAGGTGATCTCTGAATCACTTCAGTAACAATTCCTTATTCAAATAAATATACAAGTTGCAAGGTTCAGGTTCAATGTAAAAATGCAAGGCAGCAAGGCTGGAACCTAACATTGCTACCAACAGTTTCAGAAGTTGAATACCTTTTCAAAATTTGAAATAGGTTTAAATTTGTCAGGGTTATTTTTGCTTTAAACCTCACTAAATGCAGCCTAGAAAATTCTTCCTTGGTACTCACTTTGTCTGCTTTTAGAACAAACACTCAGACTATAATTTATCCAATATTCTGTAACTTTTTCACATCCTGTAGGACGAATATGTCATGCAAAAAAAGCAACCCTCCCAGTTATAAATTTTACAACAATCACGCCATTTTTTAACTATGTAATAGCACAAAGTTATAAAATTAAGAACAAATCAATTCAAATACTGTTAGGTGGCAGAAACACATTAAAGCAAACTTACACAACAAGCAACAAGACAGGGACTTATTTTCATCAACTTGAGAATCAAATATTTTACAGCCTGATGGCCTAAGAGAACATCTTAGAATCTTAGCTAGGAGGTGTGTCCTCCCAGTTTTAGAAATAAAGCATATCAAAATCTTTTCTCATCTGAAAAAATTAATAGTTGAGAACACAAACCAACTGGTAGTAACAAGAAAAGTTGTTTTAAAAATTCAAGTGTCACATTTCAAACCTAGCATTCTGTCAAGCAACCCTTAAATTGCAGTCCCTTTCTCTGAAGGTTTCAAAACGTACAAATCACCTTTCAAAGCCCCTCTCCTAAGCTTACGTGAAAATAAAAATTGGGCAAAAGTGGACCTTTATCCAATCTCCAGTTTTTGGAAGAGACAACCTCAGCGAACAAGGCAGATGACAAATGCCTCCCAATTCAGAACAAGATAGAGCTGGAAACCGGATCCCCTCACCTCCAACAGAATGGCAGACAAGACAACGCTGCGCTTTGCTTTCATTCCATTTATCGGCTCTATCTGCGCCCCAACACCGTCCCCAGCAGGTGGGACACTGCCGCAACCCCGGGGGACTTTTCTCCAGGCGGACTGACGCTGTCCAGGGGCCAGGCTGGTCCCCCTGCGTACGATCTCGAAGCGCACAGACGCGCGGGGGGCGCGGGCTCCTCCCGAGAGGACGTGTCATGAAACGCAGGAGCACACATCCCCCGCCTCCCTGTCGCCAGCTAAAAGCTCCCCCAACTCCAGAGAACTGCCTTCCAGCCCCAAGAGGGAGCCACTCCACCCCCAGGCAGAGCGTTTCTGCAAAGGCCCTCGCACTTCTCGAGCACAGGTTCCCCACCCCGACACCGCGAGGAAGAAAGCCCTGCCTGACACACAGCGGGACACGGAGGTCTAACCCACGCGCACACAGCGACTCCACGACGCACTGACTCAAGCGGGCACTGCTTGTAATCTGCACACGCCTATCTCCTTTTGGGTCGAGAGAGAGACACGGAGGTCTAACCCACGCGCACACAGCGACTCCACGACGCACTGACTCAAGCGGGCACTACTTGTAATCTGCACACGCCTATCTCCTTTTGGGTCGAGAGAGAGGGGAAAAAAAAAGAGATCATATTTCTTAAAGTGAAAGAAAAATTGCTTTTTAAAGGACATTTTCCAGGGCTCCTTTGCACACGCCGGGCGTGCAGGACCCAGATCCCTGGGCTGGAAGCTTTCGGCGATTTCCTGGCAGTTTAAAGTAGCATCTTTGGGAGAAAAACAAAACAAAACAAAACTTTTTTTAAAAAGTGATTTCTGCCGATCCCTGGCCTCTTCCTTCGCAGCCCTCCCTTCTCTGTCTGCCCTTCTGCGCTCTCCTAGTCCCCCCCTCCCCTTTGGTGCTTTGAAACCCCCATTAGGAAGAGTGTGTGATCAGACTAAGGATTAGGGGGAGAGGACTTCAGCACTAGGGTGGGGCAAACCGACACCGAAACCGCTTTGTAACAAACGCGTAAGATTCCGAATTAAAAAGCAGCAACAACAAAAAAGGAAATTAAAAAAACAAACAAACAACAACAACAAAAAAACCCCTAGCCTCTTTTGCCACCTACTTTCAGGTCAAGGAAAACGACTTGATGACTTTCTTCCTGTGCTGGGTTAGCCCAAGCTTCCAAAAATAAAAATAATCGTGACCCAGACCGACCACAGAGAACGGAAAAAAGAGAAAGCTGCACTTCCGAAGCGCAGAGACCCGGCGACAGGCAGGGCGACGCTCCCACTCGCACCGGACTGGACCCCGTCCGCCCTGGGTAGAGGAGGTGGCTCCCTCTACCAGGCACCCTGCCCTTTTTTCACCCGCGGGGTCTTCTGCCCCCGTGAGGGGAGCAACTCGCCCACCCCCACCTTACCGGCTTGCCCTCCTGGGACAGCCTCGCCCAGGGCTTTACCTTGCACCGAGAGGAGGAACAGGTTAGAAATGCGGGCTCCTGCAACGGCGACCTGGAAAACACAAAGTGGTTTTCCTCCCTCTCTCACGGCGCCGAATTCGTGGCCAGCGCAGGACTGGAAGCAAGGCGAGCCGTCCTCCTCCCCAACCCCCTAGAGCGCGCGGGCGCACGGGGTCGCCGGCCCGGGACACTGCACGGGGCGTACACGGCAGCCCCCGCCGAGGCAGGCCGAGCCCGAGCCCCGGGCGGGACAGATCCGCAGGCAGCTCCCCGACCCTCGCGGGGTTAGAAAAAGGGAGGCTCGGGGACAGACGGACCCCACCCTCGGTCCGGCTGCACCCACCCACTCCATGTTGCCCAAAGCGCGCCGGCCCCGGCGCCAGAAGGGGAAGAGCCAAACGCGCCTCACCGTGATCGCGGCTTTGCACCAACCCCTCTCCCTTGGATTCTCTTCTTTCTGCGATGTGCAAATAAATCCAGCCCCGATGCAAACTTTTCCCCCTCTTTCCAAACTCTGCTTCAGTCCAACTTCCGAGCAATCGGCGGGAGACCAAAAAAAAAAAAAAAAAAAATTAAAATTAAAAACCCAGGAAATTTCGGAGCCAAGTCCTCCGCCGGTGAACACTTCAGTCCAGGGCTGAAGGCGACCCCCCTTTTAGAAGCGCACGCGGAGTATTTCCTCTTTTTTCTCAATGAACGAGAGGCCGAAGCGCCAACAGCAAGTCCCTTTTCCTGGCAGATGAGCGAGTGAGAAGAGAAAACGGCCTGAGAGACAACCTAAAGCCAGATGGCCAAGTGGTGCGACCGCGGCCGCGTCGGAGCGGAGGTGGCGCGCG